TCCCTCCTTGAGGTACTCCTGGCCTTTCTTGCAAAGGAGTTGTCTGCAATGACAGTATTAAGAGGGAACTAGAGAATGGTCTTTGAAGTAAGACTTGAATTTTAAAGAGATATAATTTCATTTGTACCTCATGACATTGAGCAGGTTCCTTAACAAATTCTAAGATTTATCAAAACCTATTAACATGTATATTTCCATGCTGACAGCAACGAAAGTGACAATTCAGTTTTTAGGGTGTGTTGTGTGAGTGACCTTGTCTAAAATAAAATCTGATACAAATATAAACATTTCTTCTCAACCAGATCCCAAAGGCGGGAATGTACGTGCTCACCCGATTTTGCCTGTGAAGCCCTCCATGAATGGAAGATTTACTACCAGGCAAATTACAGAATGATTCCACGACAACTTCAGTTCTGCTTTTCGTTAAAACAGGCAGGGTAAGTATTCTCTGGGAATGACAAAGTAAGAATCCTGTGGAGAATGAACAGTTTCATCTCATGGACAATGCCAAATTTTAGTTTCTTGGGTGACCAGGTTTGCAAATTCATTCGCTCCAGAAAAAGCATTCTTCTATCGTTCTTGAAGCTATCTCAACTTCTGATTACTATTTATTTCAAGAAACAAAATTTCAAACATCCTTTAATCCAACTGCCCAATATGCTAATGCATTTTAGGAATTAAAATCTCACTAGGAAGTCTGAGGAGCATGGAACCCTGATCAAGTTTCTTTTTTGTTAGTCAAAAACACTGAAAGAATAGATTAATGACTCAGGTGATTCAAATGTTAAGTAACTGCTTAGATTTTGGATCAAAATCAATCTACTCACATATGTCTATGTCACTTTGTTTGTCAGTGCTTTCCAAGCTGCAGGTCTCAGTGACCGAATAATGAATAAATAATGAAAACAATTTAATGTGTCATGAAGAGCATTTTTAAATACAAATAGAAAAATATCATAAAACTGAGTCATAAGAAGGAAGAGTAAACTAGTCTCTTAAAAATTATCTATTGCAGGGGGAGGGGCTTGGACCTGCCTCTACTGAATGTACCTGGCTCTGCTGGCGCCTCATGAGAGGCCATACCTTGTTGAAGGAGGGAATGGGGAGTGGTTTGAGGAGAAGGTTGGAGGGCCTGGAAGAGGGAAGTCGGAGGATCTGTGGTTGGTATGTAAAATGAATAAAAAAATTCTTAATAAAAAATAAATAAAAATTATCTATTGGCTGCATGTGCCTGTTTTAATGCATGTTTGTGTTCACATGGCCACACTTTAGCAATACACTTCACACTGTGATTGAGGTATGCTTGAAAAATGCATCTTTTCCAGGCGGGGAGGGACTAGGTAGGCCCTTCCTCAACTTGGTATGCCAGACTTTGTTGATAACCCAAGGGAGGCTTTAACCCCTCTGAGGAGTGGATGAGGGCATGGGATGGGAGGTAGATGGGGAAGTAGAAGAAGGGGAGGTAGGGGAAACTGGGGTTGGTATGTAAAATGAAAAAAAATAATAAAATAATAAATAAATAAAATAAAAAAAGAAAAAAAGGGCATCTTTTCACAAGTAGTCTAAAAACAGAGACATGATACATTTCCATTCGCTTCTAAAGAAAATCACCTTTTCAGCTCAGAGAAGACTGACTGATCCTGAAAACAACAAAAACTAATTCATTCAGTATTCCTCAAATTTTTCTTTTTCGTTTTAATACAGAAACTGTATTTTGAATATTGAAAGTAAAGGATTTTGGTCTCTGCATCACTCTTCCTAAGACAATAAAAATCTCCTGTCTGATGACCAATCGTGGTAATGGATGTTGAAGGAACTATTTGAAAAAAAAAAAAAACAATGAGCACAGCGTAATGTGTACACTATCATCCCAACTGTTTACCACTCAACTGAAGCTTTATGAGAAACAAGTGCAGAAATATCTGGAAGGATACATATAAAGCTGGATTCAAAGATCAGGAAAGCTATAGATGGAAATCTAAACAAGGGAAGATGTAGAATATACTAAAGCAAACAAACAAAAATAACTCTAGTAGTATGAACTGGGTGAGATGAAGAGAAATATGAATGAAGATATCTAGGGCAAGGAACGTCATGGAAAATAAATGCCAATTAAATAAAGAAGGCACTCCCTCTTCTCTCTCTCTCTCTCTCTCTCTCTCTCTCTCTCTCTCTCTCTCTCTCTGTGTGTGTGTGTGTGTATTTGTATCTGCAGAGAGAGTAATCTCATAGATGAGATCTTGTTCTCTTTGACTATGTATAGTTAGAACCTTAATAGATACCAACAAGCAGTTATTTGAATGAATCTATAGCTAATGAGATAAGGACTATATCAAATATATTTTAGTATAATTAACCTACCTAGTGAATACTGAAGCTATGAGGGAGTATATGTAAATGTACATATACATTTTTGTGTATGTGAGAGAGAAAGCATGTTGAATTAGGTGATTTTGAAGACTAACCTTGTGCCTTGAGGTCACATCAGTATGTTAGGCAGGAGCAGCCACATTTCCAAAACATTTGAACAAATTGGTAATCAGAGATAAAAAGGGAGTAGATGCAAATTTGTCTCAGGAAGTAATGAAGAACAATTTGAAAGAAAAAAAAGTATTTACATCTCAGAAGCTTCATGTAATATAAGTTTTAAAAAGTTCAAATGACAGTGCATTGTGCCAGTTTAGCAATCTCAGCTTCCGACTGCTGGGGAAGGAATAAGTGTGGGCGCAGTGAAGTCAGAGTCAGAGTGGTGGTGTGAACACACGGTAAATATGAACCCTGACTTTGGGGAATAAATACATCTGTAACAGACAGTGTAAAAAAGAATGAGGCAGTGTCTTCTACAGTTTTACGTAAATACATGAGACAGTTGTGCAGATAATAAAACAGAGTAGCATGTGAATTATTGCCTGACATACTTGTTTTCAACATGCCATTGCCCTTTAATATTCAAAATATAATTTAAACTTAGTAAACTTTGGTCTAACCCTCTGATCCTTGTCTGCTTAGCCGTTTGTGCTTTATCACTAGATAGCAACCATATATTTCTAGTTAATTATTAATTAATTATTAATTGAATAATCAATTAATTAATACAAATACAGCAGAATTATTTTTTCTTTTGTCACATTTTATATCCTTTGAAAATCCCTGTTTCTTGGGGCAGAGGAGATGGATGGCTCTGTCAGTAAAGCACTTCCCTTGCGAGTATGAGGACACGAGGTTTATTTCCAGCTGCCAAGTAAAAGTGAGGCATGGTTATACAGGCTCATAATCCCTGGAGAGGCTGAAACAAGAGAATCCCTTGGACTTGCTAGGCAGCAGCCTAGTTTAATTAGTAAGCACTAAGCCAAAGGGATAGCCTGTCTAAAATAAAAGACAAACAATGCATAAGTAAAAATGTAAGCTCTTCTCTGTTCTCTACATGTATGTATTTGTCTACATGTGTATACATGCATACACACATACATACACACACATGCACACATACACACACAAAAAAAAACTCTGTTTGTAAAATAAAGAGAGTATTATAACCATCATTTTGAGTATCTTGTTCTGACACCCTGTCATCTCTTTCCTGGTTTACTTTGATAGATTCTAAATCTGCAGCCACAGTCTGTACTTAATCCACAGCATCAGGGTATGACTTATAAAGTTCTATAATATCACTTATACATAAAGTCAGTCCATGGATTCCAATGTCTCATGTGCTAAAGCCAAAATAATTATCACTCTAAATGGCCATGCTGCCTGCCTCTTCTTCTTTGCTCATGTGGCCTATCTCTAGATACTCTCTTCCCTTGATCACGCAGCTTCCATTATGCCCACTCCTTTACTGATCTTTCAATGGCTCTGCCAGACTTCACCTCTGAACCTTTTTCGACTCCTTCAAAACATCTATAAAGGCAAAGCCCTGACTCCTTTCAAATCTTTGAGGATTACTTTTATTAACTTATTTAAAAAAAACCAACTTTTTTTTTTGCCCAAGACTTTTTAAATTCATTGATACATTTGAATTACATGAGACAGTTCCTGGCAACAAGAGATACTTATGAATGCTTAATTGTTAAATGTATCTGTGAATGAGTGAATTTAGATCACTTAGCTCGTTCCCAGCTTTCAGAAGAATGTTCTGAGTTCTTGCTGTACCAGTCATAAGATGTGGTTTGGTATCTCTCTCTTCACGCTAAACAAAAATTTAAAAGTGAAGATGCCAAATATGGTGTCATCTTGCAAAGTATCTTAAAATAATTATTGGAGAACAAAGGCTGTTTCTGTGGAAGAGAATATTCACAGGAAACGCAGTAATATACATCCTCTGCTCCTGTCCCAAAAGACTGTCTGACTCATAGTCATTCAAAGGAATCCACAGCTTCAAGGCAAATCACTTTCTGTTCTAGAAAAAAGTTGCAGGACCCACACCATAGGATACCGGTCACATTGGGAAGCTATTATTATATACCATATTTCACAACTTGAGTACTTATTATATTATTTAGCCACGTGGATAATTTGGGAGCTCAAAAAAGTTTATATTTTCTTTCCTGCACCATTGGAAACTTGCTCATAATATCCTATGGATGGACTGGGTAATAAGTAAATAAATGACTGAATAGAGTATGTGAAAATATGAATAAAAATAATGCATTTTAGAACATATCTGTGACATAAAGGGACAACTATCAATGTTTATTTCAGGGGGCCAGAGAGGTGGCTCAATGATTAAGAGACTGGCTCCTCTTTAAAAAAGAGCACCAATACTTAGTTCCCAGAACCCACACTTGGTGGCTCAAAACTTCTTGTAATTCTAGCTCCAGAGGATAGGATGCCCTCTTTTGGCTTCCATGGATACCTGTACTCACATGTGCATATACAGACACAAACACATAAATAAATACTGTAAAGTAAATCTTTAACTAAAAATAATTGTTACTTGTCAGGATACACACTGAGAATTTAGTTGCACTGCCATGGATGTCAGAACTACTATAAAATACCTGAATCTCTGTCTCTTCATTATGAGTTGGTCTGTTCATCCTAAGGTAGAGCAGAAAGGATTTAGAAAATATTGAGAGATTTGTTTTTTAGTACATGAAGCTTATTAAGCAACAATAAGAATGAAAGCAAATCCAAAGAACCAACTCTTTGTTTCATTATTTTTTTGTATTATTCTCTTAGTTTCTAATTTATTTATTTCACCTCTTATTTTGATAATTTCCTGGCGTCTATTCTTCCTGGGAGACTTTGCTTCTTCTTGTTCTAGAGCTTTCAGGTGTGCTGTTAAGTCACTAGTGTGAGATTTCTCCA